CGCTGGTGAGCCAAGGGCATTTGTAGATGTCGTTTTCGGTCTGTAGGGTTGAGCCGGCTGGAGCCTGGGAGGAGCTCAGAGGACATCTGCTTGAATGTTTATTTGGACTGTGGAATAAATGCAAATGGAAGCCATGTTTTCTAAAAAGGGCTCAGAAAAAAGAGTCGAGGGAAAGGAGGTTTTCTGCTTCAATTCCTATTCATCCCTCAAAGTTAACATTTCTCATTTCATTGTTCCTTAGCCAATGTGTAAAATAGTTACCAGGGCATCTGTGTTCCCTCTCCACAAATTTTACATGTTGGGAAACTGAGGCCCAGGGTGGTTACATGTTTTGACCAAAGTCACAAAGGCAGAGGGGGAACAGCTTCACATACATGGAAAATGAAGGAGGAAGGGGACAGGCAGAACTGATTGCTTAAAAGCATTCATAAAGCCAATTTAAGTAAAAATGAAGGGGGCAACTGAGGCAGGTTTCCTCTGCTTCCTGGCTCAATCCTCAATTTACCTGGTCTACTCTGACCAGCATGCTCATTGCCCCCCTCCCCTGCTCCCTTTGGCTCTGTGCGCCTCCCCCGCCCCAATCCCAGAGGTGAACTTCGTCTTGTCTTTGCCTCAGAACGTTTCCTGTCTGCTGCTGGGAACATCTCAGGTCTGTCAGACTGCGCTTTCGAGCTTAGGCTGGGTCAGAATCACAACCTTGGGAGGGGGAGACTCCCCTAGAAAGGGAAGGGGTCCATTCATTGCTCTGATTTTATCAGTGATCACGGCTAACATTTACATAGCACTTTGAGATTTGCAAAACTTTACACAGATCACATTACTCGATTTGATTCTCCCAATAACCAACCTGAAAGACTGGGTACTACTTTGAAGGGGAGGCCCTCTCTTGCATGCTACATTTATTGCAGTATTGACTACAAACCCAAACTGCCCATAACAACTGAATCCTTACCAAACCAATGTCATTAACACCAAGGTTATGCAACAATTTATTTTTTTAGCGAAATGCTGCAGATTTGGAAAAAAAGGGAGAGGGGGTGAAAAGATACAGAGCTAAGACTTTTCAGCTTAGTTTTCAGAGTAAGTCCTTCCCTAGGGCATGTTTGGACCCTGGCTAAAGTATAAGAATTAAAAAACCAACCTACTTTCCAAATGTGTATGTAGGTTTAACATGAAAAAAAGTTATCTCTATTACACGTTTGTAGTCACAGCATTTTAGAGCTAGAAAGGGCTCGAGTGATCACCTTATTCAGTTTTATCCTTCTATTTTAGTGAGAGGAAACTATGGTTTGGTAAGTTTAAGTACTATGTCCCACAATGGCAGAGATAATTGAAGTTAAGATTGCATTCCTTTTCTGCTAGTGTAGAGTTCTATATACATAATGGCTGCTCAGTCCTTAGTCTTAGCCAACATCCAAATCCCTATCCATGTATTCATCTACCCATCCGCCAAACCATGCACGTACCCATCTAACCATATCCATCCATCATGCATGCACTATCCATCCATCCATCCATCCATCCATCCATCCATCCACCCATCTATCCATATGCATCTACCCATCCACGTACCATCCATCCACCCATCCACTCAGGTTTCATTGAGCATCTCTCCTATGCAAGTCACTGAAGTGGATGCCAAAGGCACTAAAAAGATCACACCTCGGTAGGGAGGAGAGGGAAGGTACCTAAGTACAAGGCAGAGTGAGATCTGTACAAACAGAGCACATGAGAGCCCAGAGGAGAGAGGAGAAGGGAGGAGGGAGGAGATGGCCTCTTCTTCACATACTCACCACTCATTCCATTTTCCCTGTTTTCCTAAAACCAAAATGGACTAACTGAATCTATCCTTGCAGGGTCAGATCCCACTTTGGCTCCCATAAATGCCTAATTCTATATCATTAAATGGAGACTTGACAGAATAAAGCTCAATAATAACTTTTTGAGTCCAAATAGATGAGGTCTCTGATAAAATATTACTTTAGGCATGTATTACATTAGGCATTACATTAGATTTGGTGATGGGTTGTTTGGTTTTGCTAAGATGCTTTTTTCTTCTATTTTATTCTTTTGAGACAATGAATGGCTTTGGGGGAGGGGAGGAAGGGAACATATTTGGAAATGAAGGTGATGAAAAACAAACGACGTTCATAAAAACGCAAAAAAAAAAAAAGAGTTACATTAGGAAATTTGAGAGATGGTTCTCATTTGGAGCAGCATATTATAATTGTCCAAGATTCACCTATATGAGCTTCATTTGAAGGAGTTGGGATGGTTTAACTTGGGAAAAGAGAAGACTGAGGGGGGACATGAGAGCTTCCCATCAAATATGTGGAGGGATCTTCTATGGAAGGGGGATTATCCTTGTACTTCTTGGGCAAAGGAATTATGGGTGGAGGGTTCAGTGAAGCAAAGTCACGCTTCAAAGTCAGGAAAACAATTCCCAACCACTGGAACTATGAATGAGTTGCCTTGGGAAGTAGCGGGCTGCCCCTCACTGCAGATCTCCAAGAAATGGCTAGATGTGAAGATGTGGGAAGACTATAGATTTTAAATCGAAGGAAAGTGACAATGACATTCTGCTCATAATACTTTTTCCATTAATTCAGTGATGCATATGACCAAAAAAAGCTCAGAAGTCTTCCTAATTATTCACAGTTTGAACCCCAATTCACATCAAAGAAATGGAAATCGAATGAAAAGTAAGACTGAAAAAATCACAGACTTGTTCCAAGACTGAGCTTGAAGGAAGAGAGGCTGCTGGTTAATCATAGGAGAGGTTATCTTCTCCCGCACTGTTGACAAAAAATGGTCCCATTACTGTCTTTTGTAGCTGGGAACTGACAACTGAGGAGTACCTCATTTCTAATGTCATCCATTATCTCTGATTTGAGAGAGAAGCTCAAATGCCCTTCCGCTCAGATGTTCCTTCCCCGCCCCCCTCAGCACATCTCTGTGTTCTGCAAAAGACCCCATTTACCTGATTAGTTAAGGTTGAGGGACTCTCATTTCTGCTTGGAATCGCAATGCTTAGAGATATGGAGTCACATGTTTTTATCTGCTTGGCTACAACCCGAGTCTCCACGACCGTGTCCAGAAAGCATGCCTCATATTTAAAAGGCAATGCAAGGTTGTTAAAATTCAAGGATAATTGGCCCAAACCAGCATTCGATCACTCTATTTGGACTTCTGTATTCCTGTCTACACCTAGAATCAACTGCTGTGATGCTCTATCTTCTCTTTAAGAGACGAGATCCTGGTTGGTACTTTGGTATCCCCGATTCAAATTTCCATCAACAAATATGTCTGCTATATGTGCGTGCACATGCACGCACACACATACACGTATTTTTGGGAAAAAAAGGGCTAGTGAGAAAACAGATAAGAGAAATGAGATTTCCCCCCCAAGTCTTCCCAAGGGCCACCTTTTTGCAATGGCAAGAGCTGATTCTGCTCTGTGATGCCAGCAGCCTAATGTTTAGAAAAATAGCGCTGAGCATGGGAGGTTTTTTTTCATCTCATCCTTCAAGGCTTTGAAAGAAGACGTAAAAGGGTCCCAAGCTCGGCCCTTCCTTCAGTTTTGCAGCGAGGATTGGAACGGGATTGTCCTCAGAAAACAGTCCTTTGATGAACTGCAGTGAAGAGGTACTTTTGATTCCCGGACCCATTTCATCTGGCGGTGATAGCGGCCTTACGCCCGCCAATACAGTAGTAATTGTGCAAGAGGAAAAAAAAGAAAGATGGTGATATAAATCACCAAAGGTTAATGATCAGGATGTGAACAGAGGGACTTGTTTACAGAAATAGCATGCAATTTAAAATTTACAAGAGATTTAATGCCACCACTTGGCAATTGCTAAAATCAACAGTCCAGAAAACAGTGACATTAAGAAAAATATTACAGTTCTAATCCTTCCCAAATAAGTCAATTAGTGTTAGGGCCTGCGCTCGCCATCACTTGACCCATATGGCTTGCACTTAAGTGAAAAAAAATTCCCCCCTATTATACCAAGATCAGTGGATTGTGACTTATTTTGCATTGCATTTTTCCCCCTGAATTCTGGCCCCTCTCGCAGGCTGTCAGAGCTGTAGGGGTGCTCCCTCCCCCTTTTGCCTGGCATCAGAATAATTCTGACCCTTGACATTTGTAATAATCAAAACAAAAGCCAGTTTATAATTGCGTTGTTTCAATGAAAGTGGGGGAAAAAAATCCAATCTGTTCTCCCAGCAGAGCCATGACGGGCCGTCTTCGGCCGACGGGAGTCGATTTGTGAACTTTGGCACCAGGCGACCTTTAGAAACACAGCACAACAATCTACAGAATTTACAAGCAAGACTTGCGCATGCAAATGGCCCGGCCCCAGCTCGCCTTCGGATTCGAGCGGCAAAGAGCATTATGGAGAGCGCTTTTCCCCCAACAAATTAAGAGTGTTTCTTAAATGTCACAGCACACTATTGTATTTGGCTACAGATCATTACGCCTGATCCGCACACTTTTAAAAACGGTAATAACTCGGGAAATATTACACTGAGTGCCCACATGTAGAAAGGCAAAGAAAAAAGAGGAGAAAATAGGTTTTTGAAGTAATTTAAACATCACCACTCGACGACTGGAGGGAAAGGTCAGAATTTAAGTAAGCTGAAACGAACATGAATGGGAAAAGAAAATGTACAAACAAAAAGATGCAAAGACCAGCAGCAGGACTGGGTAAACACAGGGCATGAGCATGCACTCTTTGGGCAAATCTGATTTCCAGGTCTGCGTGTGCAGAGGATGTGAGCATCGGAGGGGCTTCTGAGCAGGCCACAGCAGAGCCCTCCTGCAAGTCCATCCTGCATCGTTTGACCGACAAGGACCACAGGAAGGCAGGTGGGGGGATGTGATTTGCCCAAGGTCACACAGACAGCAAGTAGCAGAGATGGGATCTGAACCCAGGACAGAGAGGCAGAGACAGACAGTGGCAGAGAGGAAGATGGTGGGAGAGGCGTTAGTGTGTTACCTTCGGTGTTGGTGCTGCTGCTGCTGTATATATTTCGCAGGCTACCAACACGGTTTAGTTTCCATGCTTTGCGTTTGGCTGCATCCCGAGAGCAGAAAGGGAGAAGGAGGAGGAAAAGGAGAGAAAGAAGAGAGGAGAGGAGAGGAGAGGAGAGGAGAGGAGAGGAGAGGAGAGAGGAGAGGAGAGGAGAGAGAAAAGAAGAAAAGAGGAGAGGAGAGGAGAGAGGAGAGGAGAGGAGAGAAGAGGAGAGAGAAAAGAAGAGAAGAGGAGAGGAGGGGAGGGAAGAGGAGAAAGGGAAGAGAAAGAAATAAAGGAAAAGAAAAAAATGAAAAGGAAAAAAAAAGAAACGTCAAAGTAGCAGGTGAGGCATAACACAAGGCTACTCCTACTTCATGTGCAACACCCACGTGTCTAAGCTGGGCTCTGATTATGGCAGAGAAGACCCCCTCCACCCCTTCTCACTTCCAGTCTGGATAAAACGTGGACCCTAGAAATAAAGATGGTGAGCTGAGGAGAAGGGATTCCAACCTCAGTCCACACAGTTGGCCTGCCCTCATTTGTCACAAACAACTGGTGTACCAACCCAAGCAGTCACTGGAGACAAAGCCTCCGAGGAATGCTGCTATCCCCACGTTGGCATCACCTCGCACATCACTGACATTTGTCCATTTCCCCTCAACCAAGGGTAGCGAGAGAGTTTGCAGTCATCCAGAGGGTCCCAAGAGAAGCTCAGGATGAATATCCCAGTGGATGAGGGCTCCTACCTCTCCTCAGCTATTCCCCTACACTATTTTCCCCCAGGTGAGGCCCCTGGGAAAGCATGGATCCCCATCTGGAAGGCAAATATCTGCCCCCTAGTTTCTAAGAGAAACTCTAGCATCATTTGCTGAAGAATCTTCCAAAGTCCCTTCTCCTCCCTGTCCCTGGATGCCCAGAAAACCCTGGTAGGATTCAGTGTGAACCTTCTCTTGGAGTTTCTGCTCCAGGGGCAGACCAGGCTTTTATTATTAACAGCAAACAATGACCAGCATTTACGTCTGTAGATCTCTCCACCCCAGCAAGCTCCTTGGAGCCACACAACAGCCCCGGGAGGAGTTAACTAACACAGGCGCCATTTTGAAGGTGAGGAAGATAAGGTGGCACTCTCTGGTTACCCAACAAATAAATGTTATGGGGCAGGATTAGAACACAAGGCTTCCTGACTTCAAAACCTATTAATCAATGAGCATGAATGAAACACCTCTTCTGTGCCATGTACTGTGCAAAGACCATAATGGGACAGCCAGTCCCTGCCCTTGAGGAGCTTCCATTCTATCTGGTGAGACAATATGGACACTTATTAAGCATACACAAAACTGTTCCAAGATAAGTATTATCTCACTTGGCTTAGCTCAGTGCCTGGCACATAGTAGGTGCTGAGGAAATGCTTGTTTCCTTCCGCCACCCCCTAAATACATGGCCAATGTTTTGGAGAGGAGGGGAAAGCAGTAGCAGCTGGTGGGGGAATAGGAGAACGGGGGTCAGCCAAGACTTCTCTCCACTAAGGCAGAACTGCCTCTCTTTGATGTATCTCTAGCTTACTCTTAGGGGAGAGTGGTCATCCCAGAGAAAGGACACCAAGTTAATGATAAGGGACAGCAAAGTGTTATTTTTAACTCAAGGGCCCAGCACCAACCTATGGATGCCTCTGGTCTTGACCCAAAGGGAAAGTGTTGGGGTTAAGGCAGCCCTGGAATGATAATTATCCCTGACATCATTTTCTAATTGCATACATATTTGCATCACTTGGTCTATCCTTCCCCCCCCCCCATTCCCTCTAACACTGGTGGTGAAGACAACTTTCAGGATTTGTTTCATTTTCATCTTCAGATGAAAATGCTTGGGGTTCTGGGAGCAGAGGTTTCAGGCCTAAAGGAAAGACTGTCACAAACGACTTGTAAGGATTCCATGGTGCGAGCTGCTGGAGGCAGGGCAGACCCACGCACACCCACCGACTCTGGTCATCTCAAGACACACCATCTTCTAATAACGAGGGGACCTAGAGCCCGCTCCCTGCTCAGAGAGGGGAAGGTCAATGAGCACATTCATGGATGAGGGTTCTGTTTACACTATCATGAAAAAGGAAAATATCTGTTTGTCTCATTCATTTAAAGTCCTTAGCAGCCATAAGTCAACTAAGATGTCTTTGAAACTCCCTAGCGAGCATCCACCCTCCATCACATAGCAGGGAGCCAGGCTGGGCCAAGTCTTTCATGTGATGGCACAGTTGCCAAGGCGCCCACCTTTACAAATGGTTATTCTCAACAGAGACCAAGGCAGACCTGGTTTGGGAAGGTGCCCGCAGTCTATGCTAGGCATGTGTTCTGTCCAGTACTCAGCAGGGTTGGAGATCCAGGTACAAAGACAGGACAGCCTCAACATGACAACTGTGGCTTCTGTCTGTGGGGGCTCCTACCTCTGAACCCTCAGAGCCAACCTCACCTGATACAGGCTTGGGGCCAGGCCTCCACTAAGATCTACCTTCAGCAGGTAAACATGACATATTTTTATCTATAATCATTTGATTCAGTATAGCAAGCATTTATAAACACTTTCTATGGCAGGCACTATGCTAAATGTTAGCAATACAAATACAAGAGACAAAAACAGGGACGTAGAGGGTGGGAGTGAGGAAAGGAAAAACAACATGTTTACAGAATAATTTCTGGCGGCAGAGGCGCGGTTGCTGGTATGGGGAACTCTGTGCCAATGGGGGTTTGACGGCAAGGATCAGGAGGGGCCTGGTGTAGAATAGGTCCCCAAAAGCAACATATTCAGGAAACCTACAAAAAGTGTGTATTTAAAAACTTCCAGGACCCCTGACTTTATTCACAGACTATGTCCACTGCCAACACGGACAGCAACCTCTCCCTGCCTTAGAAGACAGGCTTCAGGAAGGATTATGCCTAAAACAAAAAACAAAAAGAAAGCTCTTTCCATCACTGAGTGGTTGACCTTCGAGGATAAGCCTGTCCAGTCATGGCTGGATCTGTTCTTGGACGCTGAACCATCTCCAGGCTTGTCACTGAGGCCTGTTGGGATTTGGGTACTGTTGATGTAGACGAAGGTCCCCTCTGTGTCGTCATGATACATCAGAGAAGGACTTTGGATCTAGGGTCTTTCCTGATCTCCCCCCAGCCCCAGATGCTAACCTCAGCCTCCAATTACCTCAAATCTTGTAGATACTTAATTCTCTCTCACACACACACACACACACACACACACACACACACACACACACACACATATACACACGCACGCACACGCACACACACACATGCTCTGACATTACTCATATTCATTTTCTGGGCACAGGTTGCTTGTCCCAAAGGACTGTGAGAGTGGGGCCCTTGTCATTTCTGCCTTGGTACCCTCAGAACCCAGCCCAACACCTGGCCTACAGCAGAAGCACAATGCCTGCTTATTGACAGACAGAAATGGAAATACTCAACAGATGCAAGACAGTGAAGGAAATACCTGCCTCCCGCCATCGATCGGAATGCCCCGCTTCCCACGACTGTTTCAGCTTTGCTCTACACTCCCTCTGGCACAGCTGTAGCAGCATCTACCATCGTTGGTGAAGAAGTCCCAACCCCCGCCCCCCAACCCCCTTGCAGAGAACCTGGTCAAGAATTTCTCCAGACTTACATAGGCCAGCTGGTCCTTAGACATAAGAGGCCTCCTGTCATTGAACTACTCCAAACCTTTCCAGTTTGGGAGAATTCACCAGATGCTGGGAGATACCACGAGGAGCCACAGGGAGGGATGGGGTGGGGCTGTGGGGGTTTAGATGGCTAGGGAGCGTGAAATCTTTCTGAACTTGGCGCTCCGCACGTCTTAGTTTACCTACCACAGAATGACCAAGAATGACCCTCTCTCGCAGAGCGACACGCGCTGTTCCTATCACACGCAGTGTTATGCTTCCCATCCCCTCCCCTCCCTAGCATCCCTTCCACACCGCCCACATATACCACAGAGAGCAGAGGTACACATTTGATCAAAGGGCTGCCTGAGGTGGCTCCCGCAGCTTCCGGTTTTGAAGGTTTTAATCAGTGGAAGGATTTCCTTATTTACTGACTGGACTAGGCATGTATGCCAGCCAGGAGAACCATCAGTAGGCATCCCACATTAAAAATAAAGAGGGCCGCAAACCAACATTTAATTATAAGTGAAAATCTGCCATCAACCGTGTCTCTGGTATCGAGTCACACAACAAATTGATTTTTAGATGTGTTCCAGTATGAATTCCCTGCCGCTGCAGAATGAACTCCTCCACTAGACACAGACTGTGAGCGCCTTCAGAGTAAAGACCACGACCTTGCCTTTCTCTGTACACCCAGTACTAGGCACAGTGCCTGGCACACAGTAGATGCTTAAGAAATGCTTCTTGATAGACTGACTCTCGGGGTGGGATCCAGTGTTTCCTTCAGCCATGCCGCACAGAATAAGTGACTGCCCCCTGAGATGAGAGATGGCTTTCCTGAGCTACGGATATGCTCAATTATAATATTCAAGGTTCCTTGTTTTCCTGAACACCTAAGCATTCCAGAAAGTCCCCACACCCCAAGCGGCTCCATTAGGTGGCTTCCAACTTTCCTTTTCCCTGAAGCATTTACATATAAATAGGCCAAGTCCAGGATGAGCCCCCTCTGAAAGGGAAGGACCTCCAGCATACACTTAGAAGCATCCCCCACCCTTGTCTGATGTCTTTCATTTTTCAGACTTCCCTCTCCCATTACAGTATGGATGGAGAAGGAGAAAGTGAACATGGAGCCTGCTTTTCTATTAAGCTATTGATGAAATAATCAATTTTAATGTGCATGGTGCCAGGCTTTTTTCTTCCTTTTAAACAAATGGACTTTTCCGGCCTGATATTGAGGTCCTGCTACGAGCATCTGTCTCCCATAGCATCGATTGCTCCAAGTCCTCTCCTTTGGGGGCACCTCTCCAAGAAAACACAATTTGATGACGATCAGCAGAATTTCAGGGGACACCAAAGAGAGCTGCTGGGACCCTGGCAGCCAGGGTGCTCCCGCTGT